GAAAGGAGGGAGAGAGATAGGTTGAGAGATGATGGCATGGAAGGGACGGAGAGAAAAGAGGAGACAGAGGCGGAGACGAACACGAATCAAAAGCGAGATGGAGAGAAAAGAGGAGCAACGGAGGAACGCATCGGAGAGGTAGCGAACACAGAAGAACGAGCAATGGTCGGTACCGCGTAAATTCACCAACACCGAGACTTACTGGTAACGCTGCGCCACACCTTTGTGAACTACGAATTTCTCGGATATTCCGTGATGGCACTCCGTCTAATTTCTCTTTTACCACAAACACTCTGAACGCGGGGAAAACTGAACGCGTAGAAGAAACGCTGGTCACTCGCGAGGCACACTCGCGATACGCCTTAGACAGAGCGTATATGCATGGCATGTATATACACACACGAGAAACATAAAAACAATGCGATCGCGCTGCTACCTCGACGTGGTTTGTTCAACTATAACGGCTCGTCTGATTATTGCCAGATGCACTTGGTTACCTTGGTAGCACGCATGCGTTTCGAGACACGAGGAACGCGTAAATTGGTTTCTGTGGATCGACGCGTAACTGCACCAATGATTTTGCGTGTACAACGACAACTCCTTGGCATGTACCAATCGGTCAGAAAACTCTACGATCACCCGTCAACGCTTCATCGCTCTCTACGATTTCACTATCATGTATAGCTACGCAACTACGCGACGAGCAATCTCTAACCTACAACTTAGCGGAACGTCGCAGGCTTGCCAACTACCGACTGTTCTATCTTCCACGACCTCAAACGACAAGAACTGCCACGATGACGTTGCAGCTGCTCCTTCCTCTTCTCTCTTTCTCTCTTCTTCTTTCCTTTCCGTCTCCATTGCTCTCGCTCTCTTACTTTTGCGCTTGCGCCACACACTACTATAGGGTATTTATCTTTCAAATATATTTATTCACACACCGGTACTCGACAAGTTTATTTCTCAAAATATAACTCTGATACGATTCTATTCGCTTCTCAACATTTCTTTATCAACATTTTAAACATCTCGATCCCAATAGTCAACTGGTCTCCAAGCTACGTTCCTATTGGTTCGAATCTAGGGATTTATATGGCAGTCCTCTGCCAGTAATTCCTAACTGTGATTGGCTGCAGCATGTTACTTACATCGGTGTGCTAACATGTTCGGACACGAATAAATGGGATAGTTTTATTTCTAAGCTAGTTAGTTTGTTTAACCAACAAAATGACGCGTTTGGATCGCTTTCTATCGATATAATCGGAATGATCAAATCAATTAATTGATCCATCAAGAGAGTTGGAAAATTGATTCTTCCGAATTGCGAACTGTTTCGCAGAAACACATCGTAAACGCACCGAGCGTCGTTGTTTCGATTCCACTTGATTTACAAACTTTACGTATGTGAGTAATTTCTAGCTTTCTTCTTTATTGCACCATGTGCCAATCGCTTTACAGATTCAATGTTGTGCGTCACCGACAATTTCTTGTCGATTTGTTATGTCGGGAAGTTTTTTCATATAGATAACCTCTCATCGATCGATATACATGGACATAATCGCTGTCGTTACTATTGTGTACCACATTTCGTAAACATGTCTTGGATATTTGGAAAAAAGAAACAACAGAAAGA